TTGTCACCTTTATCAAAAAAAAATAAAAATATTCACCGCAAAGTCAAATATTTTAATAAGTAATAATAATCTATAATATATATCCTATCCTAGACAGATAATCCGTCTCCGCTCAGAGTAGTCTAGAATATGATTATTTTATATATTTTTTGAAAAGTTTTTAAGATTAGGTATTCAATTTCAAATTAAATTACAAAAAAAAAAATTGATTTTGTAGGAGAGCAAATGATTTTGCATAAATATTTCCGTTTTCCTAATTATTTTGAAAAGTCTGGGTTCTTTACTTTTGACAAGATACGATTTGAGATCAGAAACCATATAAAACTATGCAGTATGCTAAAATATGAAAATGAAGCATTTTTCTTTTTCCAACTGCTAAAAATGACGTCAATTACACGCACACACACACAAAAAAAAAATGCATACTAAAGCAGTTTTTTTTAAATTGTGATAGCTTCACTCAGAATCTTAAGGAAACAATAATAATTTAGTGAAATTGGTTACCTAATAGAAGACCATATATATATATATAAATCGAGACGTCAATTTGTCAACATTTAACAAGGTGTACTAAATATAAATGTAAATCAGTAAACGTATAGAGTTTGAAAATATTTAAAGAATTTTTAAAGTAAATTTGATGATACTCAAATTAATTGTTTTTCTATACTTATAAAATAATTAGGAATATTTCTTTATAATTATAAATCGTCATATAGTTAATAAAAATGTTCAGATATATTTTATAACTCACCATAACAACTATAATTGAATAATACATAAATCATAACCTATAGGTATATAGGTATTATTAGGTAATAGGTACCTATAATACAAAATATGCGGACTCTAATTATATTTATTTTACATTTTGTGCGTTTTGTAGTATYTACGTATATTGTGTAATTGTAAATTTGTAATATTTTCAAAACAACTGTCGAAAATCGATAAAAAAAATATATTGTACCTAGACGCGTATACAACGTACCGATGTAATACAGCAATACACTTATTTACATACTTTACCTTCACCTATAAATATTTTTTGTTAATCAATTGTTGAGAATACAATACTGCAAAATATACAATACAATAATTTATTAAAAATATTGTACTAAGTAAATAGGTAATTACTAATTACCCATATTAATTAATAGGTTATTACTATATGTGTGCGGAGATTTCAGTGGTGAGGTACTGGGGTTATTTCGTCAAAAACAAAATTTGCTGGACAAAAGAAAAATAATTTTAGAACTTTATACGAAATGTTATACTTAATACAAAAGCCAGTGAACGGAATTGACCTTGCTGTGAATTACGTGTGTATATATATAGGTACAGTAATATTATAGTTTCGGGGTTGTTCCGTATTGTTGGTACTTATTATATTTATTATGGCGCAACTCGTTTGTCTGACCTATCCTTTTTATCRGCYAACATGACAAAAAACTAAAACTAAAAAATCGTTACCAAATTCGCAGGATATAATGTCGACGATAATATTATTAGTCCAACATAATATGTACCCAATATAATATTATGTAGTATTTAATATCTATATACCTTTGTAATTTTATGCAGTCAAACGGCAGTATAATATATCATACTATTAAGTGATAAGTCGGTAGGTAAATGTATACGTCTGTTCATGATATAAGTATTGGCTAAATTGTACAAAATTAACATAGAATATATTATATATACATAACAGTATATTRGAAGAACAAAATAATGTATTGTAAAGTAAATATTAAATAATAGGTATTACATATTTTCAAGGCGTATTTATAATGATAGGAGAATAAGTGCGCAAGCATGAGCTATATTAAATTAAAAATAAGTATACTAGCTGGCAGCTGCTGTAAAAATTAATGAGACAAATAATAATTAGGTGTATTTATACARACTATACCTTATATAGGCACGAGGTACCCATGACCCATCATCGTATCTACAACTAAATTCATTTGCACTACGGATATTTTAAAATATTTCCTGAATATTATTATGTACCAACAAATGAGTGCCGTGATTTCCCATTCTATCATTTAACTTATAGAAAACATCATATAATGTGGGTTAAAAAAATGTAACCGGCTGTGTATATCTTATCAATTAAACGTATTTTAAATTAAGATGAGCGCTTAGTGGTAGGTATATATTAAATTAGCTAGGTGTACCTCAAACAATATTGACTCACCAATCTAAATATAAATACTTATAACTGGTAAACTATACTTTTCCMAAATTTGATTTTTATTGATCGATGATCTCAAATATATTTCGCATCAGAAATGAAATTATGAATGTATGTTATCATTCAAAAAAAGTAAAAACTTAAATACGTAKAGGTAGGTACTTATCAATAAAAAAATAGTAAAACATATAATTGTTTTCTAGAAATAATTTTGTTTTGTCATGACTTAAAAATGTGTAAAAGAAATATTTTCAAAAATATAAGTGTTTTCTGAAATATTGAAAGTATATTATACCTATAGTAATATTATACTAGTTTACATTTGATATCTATATTGAATTCGGTCGCAGAACACGCGGTCAATAATAATATTACTACCGCTGCATATAATAACAGTATAGATAGGTTAAATTACATACATACATATTTAYATTTTTTTTGCTAAATTTGTTTTATTTCAATACAATGACATAACGGAAACAACCGCAGTATATAAGCTACCTTTTTAATACAGTACATTATTATGCACTATATATCATACTAAAGCGTAAAAATTAGCAGTGATTTCCGCAGTCATTGCCGTGRTAGCCACTATAACCAGTATAYTATAGGTAAGTACCTACTACCTACTAGGTTTTGACCTATACATGCCAATATAACGTAGGATATAATATAGGTCATATTATAGGGTATTTAAAAACAGCAAACCCCATTCATATAGGTAATTATATAATATTAAAAAATGTTTTTACATCAGCTTCCATAATATTCATGGAACGTTTGAACATTTTATACATTAGTAAATCTAATTTGTTGCAAATGTTGCAATGCTTTTATTTTTAGGTTTTAAATTCATTTTTTTTGTGTACAATATTGTGATGAGTTGTGAGTGCACATATACAAAAACTTTTTTTCTTTCTATGAACAAATAATATGTTAATACAATCACCCTGTATACAATTCACATTTATATATTATAATATTATCACGACGGTAGCCGCTGCACGACCAGCGCACCAAACTTAAACGCGCCGTCGTTGTGTTCGGCGGTGTTCGCAGACGGTAGTCCCCGCCGTTCAGCAGCTGACATGGATCGGCTATTGATTGTAAGGCTCGCGCGGAACACCGTACTTCCGTTGGCTTACATAATATTCTTCGGCGCCGCGTTCGTGATCGCCGGCTACTTTTTGGCCCTAAAAACACAGGTCGGTATAACATCACGTTTTTATAATATATAATATATTATAAGTCTAGTATAATATACCTAAACCTATATATWCATATATTATATACGTTTAATATAATTTTATGTATACCACCAAAGTAGGTGGTAGACAGATGACCTATTCTCAAGGGAGCCCGCAAAAATATCAAATTGTATGACATGAAAACATACGTACCTAACTAGATATTATTATCGAGACTCGAGAGATATAAAAATCAATAAAGAGTGCTGGACAAATAGATATAATGAATAATAAATTTACCTAGTATAAAGTCATAAACACATACAGAGCCTAAGTGTCTCTTAAGAATTACAATGATCGATTATTCTTTTTTCTATTGTAAAATATAAATATTATA